CCTCCTCCTCCTCCTCCTCCTTCTCCTCTTCCTCCTCCTCCTCTTCCTCCTCTTCGTTTTTCTTCCTCCTCCTCGTCCTCCTCCTCCTCCTTCTCCTCCTCCTCCTGCTGCACCTCCTTCTCCTTTTTGTTTTCCCTCCACAAAAAACAACTTAAACGCGCACTCAACACCACGACGACGACGACGACGACGACGACGACGACGACGACGACGACGACGACGACGACGACGACGACGACGACGACGACGACGACGACGACGACGACGACGACGACGACAGCCGCGGACCGCACGCAGCGTGATCGCAGGCTCTTGCGCGCCCGCGCCCCTCCATGAGCGGCGCCTTCGGTAGCAGGTGTTCGCCGTGACCGGGTTCCCCGGCGTCTTCAGAGACGAGCAGGGCCTGCTGGTGGACGTGCGCCCCGAGGACCTCTGGCCGCCTCGCCGTCTGCCGTTCGCACTCTCTCGGGGAACAAACAATGACATACACATCGAAGCTCGGCGGTCCGCGCGGACCTCTGAGTTTCTGTTACGTTTATGCCATTACTTGTTCCCCGAGGAGATCTCGGAGCAGGGGGAGGCGGAGGGGGAGGAGGAGGAGGAGGAGGAGGAGGAGGAGGAGGAGGAGGAGGAGGTGGAGGTGTGGGTAGGAGGTGAGGTGATGAGGATGAGGATGAGGATGGGGATGAGGATGAGGATGAGGCTTGATGATGATGATGATGATGATGATGATGATGTGATGATGATGATGAGGATGATGTATGCTTGATGTTGTATGGATGATGATGTTGATGATGATGATGATGTTGATGATTGATGATGATGATGTTTATGTTTTGATGATGATGTGATGATGTGATATGATGCTGATGGCTGTTGCTGCTGCTGTTGCTGCTGCTGTGCTGCTGTGATGATTGATGATTGATCTGATGATGGTGCCGGTGGTGGTTGTGGTGGTGGTGGTGATGATGATGATGATGATGAGGAGGAGGTGGAGGAGGAGGACCCCCCCACCTTCCCCTCCTCCTCTCCTCACCACCCCTCCTCCTCCTGCTCCCTCCTCCTCCAGCTCCTCCTCTTTCTCTTTTTCCTCCTGCCTTCCTCCTCCTCCTCCTCCTCTTTCTCGCCTCCCGCCTCTCCGCCCTGCCCCTCACAGCTCGCTTACTTTACCGCCTGCTTCTCTCCCCTTTCTTCCCGCTCCGCTCCTCCGCTCTCCTCCTCCTCCTCCTCCTCCTTCTGCTCTCTCCTCCTTTACACTTAGTCTTCCTCAATATCGGCTCTCTATCCTCTCTCCTCCTCCTCATCTTCCTCACTCCCCTCCTCCTCCTCCTCGTCCTCCTCCTCTTCCTCCTTTCCTCCTCCTCCTCCTCCTCCTCCTCCTCCTCTTTCTTGCCTCCCGCCTCTCCGCCCTGCCCCTCTCAGATCCTTACTTTACCGCCTGCTTCTCCTACTTTTCTTCCCTCTCCTTCCCACGCCCGTCGCGCCAGTTTCGATGGTTCGGCATCAGCCATCAGCTTGCCTGTTCCACGGAGGAACTGGAGGAGGATCGTGGATTGAGGATCGAGGGTTGAGGAGGAGGAGGAGGAGGACCGAGGGCCGAGTATCGAGGATGGTCGAGGATCGAGGAGGATCGAGCATCGAGGAGGAGAATCGAGGATCGAGGATCGAGGATCGAGGTCCGACGATCGAGGATCGAGGAGGACGAGGATCGAGGGTCGATTGTGCTCGTCTTTTTTCCTAGAAGGTCGCGCGGCCCCCCAGCACAGTTTTCTTGGCCCCTGTGGGTCCCTCGCTCTTTCTAGGACGGACGACGGGTCGATCATTACACATACTATGTGCAGTCAGGACACTGACATAAGGATCGCTTTGGGCTAATGAGGGGCTCCGGTTTGTGGAGCAAGGTCCGATTCGGCACCGAGCAATCTTAAGCGCAATTGAAAGAGATGGGCGGAAAACGGGTCGGATGTCCCATGTGGCGCGGACGCATTGGGCTTGCTGTTGTTTCACGTTCGTTGCCGCCTGTGTCGCCTTGCCCTACTTGTTTTCCCTGTTTGGCCGCCCTGCATTTTTCCCGTCGTCAATCCCTGGCAAACTTTTGAGACGAATGCGCGCGGCGCTGATGAAACAACCACAGTTTGAAAACGACCCTCCCTCTATCCGTGAAACGTTTGCAACATTTTGAACTATTGCGCGCGGCGCTAGAGCAAGCACCATATTTTGAGAACGATCCGCCCTCCATCCTTTAACATGTTGCTTTCAGACGAGCGCCTGCGGACGAGAGCCACATTTTGACAACTACCCGCCCTCAATCCGTGAAGCCCTTGCAAACTTTTGAGACGCATGTCCGCGGGGCGACGGCGAGAGCCACATTTTGACAGCGACCCGCCTGCCATATGTGGTATTGTTGCAAAGTGTAAGCTTCATAATTACGCGTGGTGAGGAATTTTCAGGCGAAAACCCGTCCCGCCCTGTGACGCCTCGGGGTGCGACAGGGAGGAGTTATTAATAAGGAGAAGGAATGGAGGTGGAGGAACAATGAAAGAGGAGGAGGAGGCGGAGGAGGAGGAGGAGGAGCAGGAGGAGGAGGGGGAGGAGGAGGGAGGAGGAGGAGGAGGATGAGGTGGAGGAGGGAGGAGGGAAGAACGAGGAGGATGAGGAAGAGGAGGAGACAGGAGGAGGGAGGAAGAGGAACGGAAGAGGAGGAGGAGGAAGAGGAGGAGGAGGGGACGGGTTGAGGGGGTGGGGCGAGGAGGGGAGGGATTCAAGGAGGAGGAGGAGGAGGAGGAGGAGGAGGAGGAGGAGGCGGAAGGAGGAGGAGGAGGGAGGAGTGGGAGGAGGAGGAGGAGGAGGGACGTGGGAAAACCAGGGGGTAGAACGAGAGGAGGAGGAGGAGGAGGAGGAGGAGGAGGAAGCAGAGGAGCAGGCAGGAGGAGGAGGAGAGGAGGAGGAGGAGGAGGAGGAGGAGGAGGAGAGGAGGGAGGAGGAGACGAGGCGGAGAAGGAGGAAGTGGAGGAGGAAGGAGGAGGAGAAGAGGAGGACAGGAGTAGGACGGGAGGGGGCTGGGGCGGAGGGAGGGGAGGACGAGGAGGAGGAGGAGGAGGCGAAGGACGAGGAGGAGGAGGAGGAGGTGGAGGAGAGGAGGAGGAGGAGGAGGAGGAGGAGGGGGAGGGGGAGGAGGTGGAGGAGAAGGTGGAGGGGAAGGAGGAGGAGGAGGAGGAGGAGACGGGCGGGCAGCGTCCCCAGGAGGGTCGCCCGTCCTACGACCAGCTCGTCAAGAGGCCCGTGATGCGCCGTCGCTTGGCGTTGTGCGCGCGCCAGGGGAATGGAGGATGCAGGGTGGGTTGTGGGCGATCCTTCCTTTTTTCCTTTCTTTCTTATCCTCCTCCACCTCCTCCTCCTTCTCCACCTCTTTCCGCTCCTCCTCCTCCTCCTCTTTTTCCTCCTCCTCCTCCTTTTCCCCCTCCTCCTCCTTCTCCTTCCCCCCCTTTCATCCTCCTTCCTTCCTCCTTCCCCCTCCTCCTCCTCCTCCTCCGTCTCCTCCTCCTCCTCCTCCTGCTCCTCCTCCTCCTCCTCCTCCTCCTCTTCCTCCTCCTCCTCCTCCCCCCCGAGGGTGGGGCCTGGCACCTGTTCTCATGGTGTCCAGCGCCACACCTTCCTCGGGGCAGACCGTTCAGGGCGATGCATTTCATCTTCGGTCAGGGTGAGCGGCTACCGGTCGTTTTTCCCACAGAGGAGGGTGGACGCTGTGAAACCTGTATCGGCGGGATGCCGCAAGGCTGCCGTCGTTGGGTGTAGCACGGCCCTCAGCTCTCTGTGCGGATGCAGCAGGCACTGGGCCTGGGGGTGGACGTTGCGAAACCTGTATCGGCGGGGCTTGCGCTGCGCGCGGCCTCGTCGTTGGGTGTAGCACGGCCTTCGGTCTCAGCATTGCCCTGCCGGCGGCGTTAGCCAGGCGCCTGGGTGGCTATTCCCATGTGGTCTGGCCCTCAGGGATTTGCGTTTTCCGTGAGAGGTGGTGGCATGTGCCACGTAAATCCGATCGGGCTTTGTGGCCACTCACGGTTGGGGCCTTTGGGCAGGCCCCAGTGCGCAATGCCAATCGTGCCGACAGGGTGGCCTCGTGCCCCCAATGCACCATGTCGGTTCGGTTGGGCCGCGAGTCGTCCGACGCCAAGGGGCAGCTCTTGTACCCTGTACCGCTTTTCCGCATTTGCGGAGGTCGAGCAGTGTCTGTGTGCAGTCGCTGACTCACTTTCAGCCTACAGCCTCCTCCTCCTCCTCCTCCTCCTCCTCCTCCTCCTCCTCCTCCTCCTCCCCCTCCTGCCACAGGCCATTTGCTACATCTGGCCACCGTCCCCTACAGGGTCGCGACTCCACGAAACTCGGCCAACGAACGGGTTGAAAGCACCCCACAGCCATATTAGCTCAAGTCCTCCTGGAACGGAACTGGAGCGTGCCACGGGTGAAAAGAGAATGCGTGAAGCCGGCTTGGCAAAACGCGAAAGCATTGGGTGAGGCCAGCGGAGCAAATAGAACGGACACGGCACGACACGAACAACATAGGTAGGCCCAAAGATTTCCCCTCGTCCTCCTCACCCTCCTACGTGGTGCCAGCTTTAATTTCTTGACTCATGCGCCGTGCTTGCTCTGTGACGTTCGCTCCTCTACCGTTGGTTGTCCTCCTGCCGCCGAGTCCCCCCCCGCCAAACCGAGGCATACCTCCTCTTCCTTGTTCCTTCATACTCATTATCCTGCCTCCTCCTCCTTCTCCTTCCTACCCTTCATTCTCCTGCTCCTCCTTCCTCCTTCCTCCTCCTCCTTCTCCTCCTCTTCCCCTCTGCTGCCCGGCCTCCTCCTCCTCCTCCGCCTCCTCCGCCTCCCCTTCCTCATTCTCTTCCTCCTCCCCATCTGTATCAATCCCATCCGGCAAGTCAGATGGCATCCGTTTCAAGAAGAGCCTCACTCACTGGCCTGCCTTCTTCCTCTTTTTCCTCCGCGCCCTCCATTTTCACCCGAGGGGACCGAGGAACGGGATAGATCGGGGGGACAGAAGAGCAACGGTAGTGATACTGGGAGTCGTAAGACGAGTAAGACTCATACTGCGAACACTGATACCGAGACAGATAGCGTGGTTTGCTTGATTGTGTTATGTTATATGTGCCCTGCTGCCGCCTAGTATTGATCCGCAGGGCGCCCTGATCATTATCACCTTCCTGCCCCGCTGGGGGCACTCAGAGATATTATTACGAAGCATCATACGGTTGATCATATTATGAGTAAGCAGGTTGCAAACAGTATAGATATTCACACATAGTAATCGCAACCAAGGATGATGATGCACATGCTGATGATGATGATGATGAAGATGATGAGGACGATGAGGAGGACGAGGTGGACGAGGACAAGGATGAGGATGCGGATGCAGAGCGGAAGGCTGAACATGATGATGGTGATGCTGATGACGATGAGGAGGACGACGAGTGGGAGCATAGTGATGATGATAAAGATGATGATGATGATGATGATGATGATGATGATGATGATGATGATGATGATGATGATGATGATGATGATGATGATGATGATGATGATGATGTGGGTGATGATGATGATGCTGATGATGGTGATGAGGGTGATGTGGGTGATGATGATGATGATGATGATGATGAGGAGGAGGAGGAGGAGGAGGA